GGAGAACAGAAACAGGCAGAATGATCGAAATACACTGCTGAGGGGAGCAGCAGGTAAGACAGGAGAGGTCTGCGGCGCCACGTGGGTTGCTCAGCGGCCAGCAGGGATCAAAACCGGCACTGCAGAGGCTGCCGACAGCTTCACAGCGCTGAGCTCAACTACCTGCGCCACCAGGGAGGCCCCCAAATTAATTTTTTTTAATATCCAAAAGGTCAAGTTTACTATAAAAAGGGAGAGAAGAATAAGGGACACTTGCATAGACACAAGAGGTGTCCCTGAAAGGGACAGGTTTGTTAAGAGTGACTTGGATAGTCACAGGCAGGCAGCCTTGGAGGAGAGCTATCTCTGCTGCTTTGCAAAGTGAGAAAGTGGGTGAAGTAAAACACCTGCAGAGTCACAGATGGGCAGAAGAATTGCTGCCCCGTGGAAAAACTAATTTAAACAATAAACCAATCAGTAAAGTGGCAGGTTACAAAATCAATACACAAAAATCAGTTGCCTACCTATATGCAAGCAATCAGCCTTAGGAGGAAGAAATTAAGAAAACCATTCCATTTATAATCATACCCAAAGAAATTTATATACCTGGGAATAAATCCAACTAAGGAGGTGAAGTACCTACACAAGGAACATTATACTGTTAAAAAAAATAGAAGAGGGCCTCCCCGGTGGTGCAGCGGTTGAGCGCTGGTTTGCGAAGCTGCCCGCGGCCTCTGCGGCGCCGGTTCCATCCCCGGCTGCTCCCCAGCCATTGGAGGAGGGTCCCACATGGCGCGCAGACCTCTCCTGCCGCCCCCCGCTGCTCCCCTCAGCAGGGTACTTCAGTCCTTCTTCCTGCTCTGCTCCCCGCTCTGGCTCTGGTGAATTCTCTCACCCTCCCGCGCTTCTGACTGTACCCAGTGCATGTATACAAACAAACAAACAAATAAATAAATAAATAAAGCATGCCTCTATAAGAAAGAAAAAAGAAATAGAAGAACAGAGAAATGGAAAGATATTCTCTGCTCATGGATTAGAAGGATCAACATTATCAAAATTGCCATCCTACCCAAAGCAATTTAGATTCAGTGCAATTCCGATAAAAATCTCAATGGCATTCTTCAAAGAAATGGAACAAATATTGTATGGTGATGGATAGAAATTAGACTTTTAGTGTAGTATATGTAATGTATACAGATGTTGAATTTTAACGCTATATATCTGAAACTTAAGTAATGACATAACCCTTGATAATGATAATGATATGTTATCTCAATAGAAATTATTTTAAAAACAAAATAATTTCTAAATATTTCAATACAAATTATTATTTCAAAAACAATTTATAAAAGTGGAAATTTGAATATACCCAGTGATTACGTTTTCAATTAGCAGTACCTTAATTACATCATGGAGTGCTTAATAATACTACATGCATATTTTTATGTATTATTCTTTTGCTTTTCAGAATTTTCAAGTTTTATCTTATTTTTAAATTTTCTAATTCAGTTATTACTGCTTTATCTGATAGAGAAAACTTAGAAAATTTAAATGTCCCAAAATGAGAGCCAGTATGAAAAAATAATGATATAGACTAGAAATAAGAATCTATGAAAATAAGCTAGGAATAAAATCTAAATATAGCTTGCTGCCTCATCTATTCTGTTTCCAAGATCAAACATAGAGAGTTGGGTCAGAAATGTAGTTGAAATGTGGAGAATGAAGGAGTCAGTCTTCTGTTATCCTCACTTGGTAAACTTTTTAATATCTTGCTAAGGAAACATTAAAATAAGTAAAAACCATAATCGATAAGTAATTTTGGGGGGTTTAGGTTTTTTAGTGTTTTCCACTTCAACTTTTTCTAATTAACTTAAAGTTAGTTGTGATTGCTTCTTTATGAATTGGTTCCTTTTTGTGTGTTTGTTGTACCGAATGTAAAAATGAGACATACAAAATATGAAATTACAAAAGATAATCAGAGGCTATAATTCATTAGAGAAGATATAAATGTAAATCACTATTATTCAAAAATAATTTCATTTTATACCCAACCTAGAGAAAAGCGTGTGAGGGTAGAGATACCTGCTTGCTTTAATTTGAGCCTTTCATTACAACTTTCCTCTTAAGTCCTGAAACTTTTTTAACTCCCAGATTGAGAATGGGTTTCTGTTCTACCCATTTATATGACAACAGAATGAACATCACAACTGGGTTATTGCCGTACAGGCTGTCAGTGGTAAAAAAAAAAAAAAAAAAAAGGCTATTCAAAAAAGGAGGCATAATCTTAAATCTATCATTATTTATAAAGTAGTCCCCCTTTACGTGTACCATAACCCCCAATGGATGCTTGAAACATCCCTATACATATATCTATTCCTTTACATATATACCTATGATAGCTTATAAATTAGGCACAGTAAGAGATTAACATAATCATACCATTAATTAGAACAATTATAGTAAGATATTATAATAAAAGTGGAGTGAATGCACTCTCAGTGTCTCTCAAAATATCTTATTTTAGATAATATTTTTGGACCCTTGCTGGCCACAGGTTAACTGAAAAGGCAAAAAGCAAAACTTATACTGTCCAGGATCTCAAAAGGAAGTAAAACTGCAAATCTCTTAATGTAAATAATTTGAAACACACTGACAGTTTTCAAAGTAAACTAGAATCTGCAGATTTCTCAATGCACATTAAACTGCAAGCATCATAATTCCCAGTGTCGTATTAAAGGATGTATTATGAGAAAATATAATTATCTCCATAAGATAGTACACAGTAGGTCAGTTCTTTTCAGTGGCAAATGTTGCAAAGACTACTGCTCAACAACTTAGCAATTCCCTTCTTTCTTTCTTGTTGGCAGAACCTGCCTATATTTCAGAAGTTAAAAGTTCCAGAAAGTCCTTCTTATAGTCTCCCTTACAGCAAGGACATGGACAACAAATATAACCCAATTCTAGCTACTGGAGTCTAAGAAAGCTGAAGTTGACTGGCAAGACTTTGGCAAAGGTTTTCTTCATGAACAAAGAAAGATGCTGTTCTGTTTGATTTTTTTTTTACAACTTATTTATAAGTTAAAAAATAAAGAAGATTTAAATATAAAAGCATCTACTTTATCACATTCTTGTGGTGCCATTTTGTAAGTTATCTGCACAGAGAAAACTCCCAAAATAATGGCCTCACTCCTTCCAAAGTCTTTCCACCTTCTTGAATTCAGGTGAACAAAACTGGAAGAAGCAAAGTTAAACATTTATTTTTCTGAAGGTTATGGTTATCAAGAAAGAGATAAACAAGGGCAATAAATTAAGCTTTTAAACCACTTTCCTCAAAACATACCAAAGAATTTAATCTGAAGAGAAAAAATGTCCACATGTTTACTGATGATAATCACTTTATATTCTGAAATTCCAAGATGGGGGGGTTGAATTATAATGTAAAATGAAAATACTGTCAAATGAAAAGGAAATTTGATATCTTAAATCTTTTTATCAACACCACAAATTCAGGGCACAGTTCAGAGGATGTTTTTCGCTAAAAGACACAATTCAGATATAAATAACTACCATTTATCTGGCAAAGAAAGTAAAATATAAATTCCATCTTTTTTGCTTTGAGGGTACACTTAGATGAATGTAATTTAATTGACCTAGATTGCCACCTTACCCTTAACAGAATACTGTGAGAATTAGAATATTCTTTCCATATTCTAATAGATGAGTAAAGCGAATTTTAAGGAAGCAAAGTAGTTTTGAGGATCAAAAAGTTGCCATTTTAAACCACCGGAGGACACTGGGTCCATTTAAGCGAGTAAGGGGCCTTTGGCAGGTTTTCTTAAAAGTCTGAGTCCTAGGGCACCCACAGGAGTCTAATGTAAGTGAATAATTAAACCCTCAGGTAGCTTAAAGTTTGCCAATCCTACCCTGAAGGATTTAGCAGAAATAGTACTGAGAAAGGACTTCCTGGGATATTTTTGCATTTCTACAGTAAGTGACCTTGTTTTTGGGCCATTTCAAGAACGTTTCTGAAAGGAGGAAGCACAGTAACTGACAGGAAGATAAAACAGTGATTTGCCTAACTATTTTATCTCAGCCTATTTGAGTAGCTGAAAGGGACAAAATCAAAACCTTAATTCAAGTAGCAAAGTCAGACAGCAAGAGATCCCCCAACTCCCAGACTTTCTTTAGTTTCTGCAAGTCCCCAAAAACCCTGACTCTGGACGACATTAACTTCCTCGCAGTGCGGCTGACAAGCCAAACCCTCAGCTCAGCCTCCAAGCGCCACATCTTGAACTTCTCCTCCCGCCCGGAGCGAGAGCCCCGCGAGGGCCCCTCCGGGCCGCACGAGGACAGGCCCCGGGGCAGCGGCCCCGCCCGAGGGCGCGCGGCGGAAAGGAGGGACACCCATGACTCACTCGCCCCGGCCCGCGGCCAGACCGCACCATCCTCACCTCCGCACGTCCCGGCCCGGCCTCGCAGCGCCCCCGGAGGCGGCCAGGGAGAGCGCGCCTCAGGGACACCCCCAACCCGGAACTGGGCCCGGCCCGGCCTGGGCCTCTCCCTGGGAGAACCCCCGCCTCGGGAGACCCCCGCCGGCCCTGGCTCCCCTCACCCCACCCGGGGGAGACCCGGCCGCGCGCAGACCTGAAACAGCGGCTCCCCGCAGCTCCCGGCAGCCCGCGGGGCCCGCGCCCCTCCCACCGGAGCCGGAGCGAGCATGCGCGCCGGGCGCGCCCCGCCGGCACGCGCCGCCGCCAGGGAGGCCGGGCGAGGCCGCGGCGTGGGCGGAGGCCGGGCTCCCTGGGCGGCGCGCGCCCCCCGCCCTGCCATTCACTGGCGACGTCGGCCCGCGGTCCTCAAAGTCCGTCCTCTCCGTTAGGCGGCGAGCGCCGGAGGGGAGGGGACAGTCAGGAAGGCAGGAAACTGCGGCTTAAAAAGGCAGCCCGCAGCGGGCCCTTCCTCCCTCTCTCCGTCCCGGGCTTCCGAGAGCGCCTCGGCTCCGCGGCCTCCGCCCCGCCGCCATGTACCGCTGCCTCGGGGAAGCGCTGCTGCTGGCTCGCGCCGGGCCGCCGTCCTCGGCTCGGCGGCTGCCGACTCGGCCGCGCTGCTGGGCCGGGCCGGGGGCAGCCCGCGCCGCCCCGCAGCCGGGGCTCGCGCTGCCCGCCCGGCGACACTACAGCGAGGCGGTGGCCGACCGCGAGGACGACCCCAACTTCTTCAAGATGGTGGGGCTTCTTCGATCGCGGCGCCAGCATCGTGGAGGACAAGCTGGTGGAGGACCTCAAGACCCGGGAGAGCGAGGATCAGAAGCGCAACCGGGTGCGCGGCATCCTGCGGATCATCAAGCCCTGCAACCATGTGCTAAGCCTGTCCTTCCCCATCCGGCGCGACGACGGCTCCTGGGAGGTCATCGAAGGCTACCGGGCCCAGCACAGCCAGCACCGCACGCCCTGCAAGGGAGGTGAGCGCCCCCCCTCCCCGAACCGGCCCCCGCGCTCTAACCCCGCGCCCCTGCTCCACCCCGCCGCTTCGCAGCCGGGGGCCGCCGCTGCCGCCTCGCGGGCGCCGGGCCCCTTCCGAGGTCGCCCACCTCCCACATCGGGTGCATCAGGCTCGGGTGCCTAGTAATTTTTCCGCCTTAAGACCACCACACGGTTGGTCCTGTCTCCTTGCCCCCCGCGAGCCATCATCCCGGTTTTCTGCATATGTTGATGCTGTGTGCAGAACAGACACTGCACCGCTCTTCTTTTGATCCAGGATCTGTGACTCACAGGGTGGGTCCTGACAAAATGCACTTCTACGAGAGGGAGTGTCCGGCCCATCTGATTGTGCCTGTGCAAGTTTTTGTGGGCTTCTATGACTCACACGAATGCAAACTATGAAATAATTGTTTTCGCATTTTTTTCCACTCTTTTTTATAGTAGTGGCAGATCATGCAGGAACGTCCAAAATTAATTGCCCCCTAGGTTTTAAATGTAGACAGTTTTAGGCAAATGAATATATTGATTTTACCTTGATCTTTTAAATTAGGTCATTTTCTACCCTGTAATTTCTGTTTTGTGCAAAAAAGGAAGCAAGAAAAGTAATACAAGAGCAATGTAACATCTCTGACAAATAAACACCGGGCGACCTGACAGTAAATCTAAAGGGTGTAGACTGCTGGACATCCTGCCAACCAATGGAATGAAATAGCCCTGGGGGTGTGTACTAGTCCTGGCTAGCACCAGGTTTGAGCTTGGGGAAAAGATAAAGTACAGGAAGAAAGGCGTTGAGTCAGTTATAATTTGGTAGTCACCAAGTTGTACTATAGTTGAAATTTTTGAATTTCTGTAGATTTGGCTTCTGCGGGCAGTTTGCTTTCTCTGAGCAAATAAAAGCTTTTTTCCCAGTAAGTCACATAATTTAAAGGTCCTTTAAAGTAACCTAAAAATAGAAAGGGCAAAGCCACTTTTTTAAATTTAAAAAAGAATCCAGGTAGGTGAGAGTCTTGCTGAAGGTTTGATGGTGTGTAGACCCTTTGTCTTTGGAAACCTGGCCCAGGATGTGCTGGCTGGCATTCCCAACCGGGGAACAAAGGTGGTTTAAAAGTGCTTAATGATTTACTTATTGCTAAATTTGCATTGACCCCACCCACTTCCGGCATTTGTCTTTGGAGCTTAATTATCCTCTTGCTGTCTTGGTTCCTTTTTCAATCTTGTTGACCTCCAAATTCCCTCACCAGCTCCAAAATTATTATATAAACTGTGTTGTCAATATCCTACATTGCCTTCCTTCTTCCTACCACTTCTTTATTCTCTAAACCAAGTTCACGCTCAAAAAAAAAAAAAAAAAGGCTAAGCAAGTATGTTGAGGAAGAGGCAAAGTTAATATAGTACATTGCAATGTGTTTGTAAAATGGACATCAAGTTATATTACTCTATTGTTGGCAGTATTTCCAGTCTCTTAAAAGGCTTACAATAACCTAATATTTCAGTTTTGTTTTCTGCAGGACTTGATTTTTTTCCTTGAAGTTCTTTGTATTTTTTAAATGCCAGGTCCTCTCCTATCTTTATAAATCACAACTTCACAGTCATTAAAGCAACTAAAGTTTACCGCAATCCTCTTCCTCCTGTTGCCACAGCAGTTTTAATACCAAATGTTGAACCCAGCAACAAATTGCATCAACTATACCTAACCACTGTTACTGTAGCACTTACTTATGCTAGAGTGTAAGAAACAGTTCTCTGTTGGATTTGAGAAACTGAATTGCAGTGAATAATGGCAACCATTACAAGATAATATAATATGAAAGAAATGTATTATCTTCGGAATTTGAAAAACTATGGAGAGAATAGGATGGGGGGGGGATTAGTTAACTATGAAAGAAAGTCTTTATGAACATATCCATCTGTTGAAGATAAATAAACAGAATACTAAAGAGGTGATCAGCAAAATTTAGGTCCATGCTTTGCTTTCATGACACTCCACAATCTTCCTACCCACTCATAACCCTCTGCAGAGAATGTGCTTTCTAAGAGGAACTCACTTTAAGTGGGATTTTTTTTTTAACAGTTAAACAGTTAAAACTTTTTTTTATTTGTAAAAAAGTTATTAACCCCTTGCTCCCATTCTTCCCTTAGAAATGCAGGCTATATTAAGTGAAAAAGATTGTAATTTTCCAATCATTACTGTGAACTTCATCTTTCCCACTTAAGCACACTGTTCTCTCCCTAGCCACACTCAACAAACTATCTTCTCTACCAACGTTCTTTTCAAAGAGAAAAAACCCCAAAACTTTGTCTGTTGCTTTCATCTTTTTCCCAGTCCTCAGCTTTTTATCTAATCTTTCCGCAGGGTGACCTTAGACCTATGTTTTCTGAAATAAAATTCTCAAAGTTGAAGCAAAGCAACCAATCTAATTATATATGGGCTTTGTAAGGGAATCTTGTAAGGTAGTTTTAAGACCTGGGGATGGCTGGTATATACTTTGTTCCAAGTAAATATTTAATAGTAGTATTCTTGTGCTTATTTTCCTATATGCCACATTTAACAAACCTTTAGATTAAAGATTTTCAGAAGAGTGTATTATAGGCTCTGAAAAATTTTTAACAGACCTTAAAAAATATTTCCAGCAAAAATGAACATGGGAGAATTTCTGCTTTGAGAAGACTTTTTCAAAGGTTCTTACATGTTTGAAAACTTTATCCATGATTGATTGTACCTATTAACTTTCTTAGAATCAGTTCTCTGTATTTCTTTGGTTCTATCTGGACAATCCAGAGGATTTGCCATTTTGAAGTCAGTTGGAGGGGAGGGATACAGATTGATAATATTATAGAGAAGTTGATTTGTTTTTTTCTTTGAGACTGTCTTCCCCCTGCCACTGTCTTAATTTTAAAACTTAAGTCAGAATACCCTGTGACTGACTCTTCTATCACTGAACTTTTTTTAAGATTTTTATTTTTATTTATACAAGAACTGGGGTACAGGCCAGAGGCATGGGAGGTGAGAGGATTCACCAGAGAGAGAGTTGGGAGCAGAACAGGCAGATTGACCGAAGTACACTGCTGAAGGTTGCAGCAGGTGAGTCAGGAGAGGTCTGCCACGCCATGTGGGCATCTCCCTGGCCGGCTGGCAATCAAACCCGCACTGCAGAGGCTGCAGACAGCTTCACAGCGCTGCACCACCTGGGAGCCCTATCACTGAACTTTCTAAAACTGTAGTCATTTAACTCAACTCAATGACCTGTGAGTAGTGGACACCTCTAATACACTGACCCTAAATCTTTTATTCAACAACAAATAAACAATAGCAAGTAATGCTTCGTTCTTATCTTTGTTTTGTTGTTGTAGTTGTTTGTTTTTAAATTTATTTTCTTACATCTTTGTTAATATTTGGACATTATTTGATTTCTTCCGTCATGTGTTATCCCTGTAGTTCTTAGCACCCTGGATCCATCCCCCATTTTGACTCCACTCCCTCCCGGTCCCCTGCTGTATGCCTCAAATCTGTGGTCAGCTTGCAAGTTTTTGTCTTTTCTTTGAGTGACAGCATGCAGGAGTGGAGGGCAGGAGAGGCAGCTAAGGATTGAAGTCAGTGCAGTATTAGTGCCCCTCCACCTCTGGGATATAATTGTGTGGTAAATGGCAGAATTCTGCAGAAGACCAAATAAGTACTACTATACTGTTTGAAAACAAAACATCCTCTCCCTTCACTGAAAAAGGCTTTTGAATTGACAACCATCAAAACATGGATAACTTAGAATAAACCACACTTTATAATATTTTTAAGTCATGGCTATGTTATGTGTCTTAATCTGTCCTCCAAGAGAAAAAAATGTAGCCTTTGTACGCTTTTTTACTTTAGGATTTAACTCAATCTGAAAGTTCTCTTAAGAAAGGTAATTGGTGGGCCTCCCGGTGGCGCAGCAGTTGGGCGCTGGGTTGCGAAGCTGCCCGCAGCCTCTGCAGCGCCAGTTCCACCCCCGGCTGCTCCCTGGCCACCGGAGGGGGCTCCCACATGGCGCGCAGACCTCTCCTGCCGCCCGCTGCTCCCTCAGCAGTGTACTTCGGTCTTTCTGCCTGCTCTGCTCCCCGCTCTGGCTCTGGTGAGTTCTCTCACCTTCCCGTGCTTCTGACTGTGCCCAGTGCATGTATAAACAAAACAAACAAACAAACAAATAAATCATAAATAAATAAAAGTGCATGCCTCTTTAAAAAAAAAAAAGAAAGGTAATTGGTATGTCTTCTAGTACTTAGGTCTGAGAGGTTTGTTGTTCACAATTTTTAGTAAAATAGGGAATTTAAAAATTTTTTGTTCCCAGTATTATTTTTTTTGTCCCAATTTTTACTTCATGGAAAGCAATTTCCTATAATCCCTACTCCCAGTATACTAGGTAATGAAGAGCTACATAATGTAGAGACCTTTTATCAGATTGTCATTAAGTCTTCCTATCATTTTGTGTGTGACTCCATCTAACCAGTTTGCTTTGGCAGTAAAAACCCCACATTTTTACCAGGAAGACAAACAATGCTCAATCGCTATGCAAAGTATACTTTGCAGGAATTGGAGCATCAAAAATTAGAGGACAAGCACCAGTATATATTAAACTCCAACAGAACTGTCAGTGTATTAATTTGAAGTCCAAGGAATAAAAATTAAACTTGAATTTTCTGACGTATCCTGGAAGAAATTGGATTTAGCTCTGTTGATAATAATTCAGATTGCTTGGGAAAACTTGTTTTTATCCATTTATGTAAAAATACTAAGGGCCTGAAAAATACCGGATGGTCTCACTCATAGCAGGAATCTAGAAAACTTAAATAAGGGACCAGGAAAATGAATAACTATAAGAAAGTGAAAATCAAAATCAACAAAAAACTATGAACCAGAGACACTTTTTTGGGGCGGGGGCGGAGGGGAGGGATTGGGGTCAGAATGGGGGGCTGCAATTGTATGGGGAATATAAAATTTATTATTAAA